TCTAATTCTGGCTCTAGTTCTGGCACGGGATCCCAATGCGACATCTGTGTTCAGTGACTCTGATTCTGATTCTAGGACGCTAGGGGCTCTGCCGTCGGGCAATTGGCCACTGTCGCACGAGAAGCGCCCTAGGTCCATCTGTGACTCTAATTCTGTTCTAGGATACCAGGAACTCAGTCGGTAAACGGTGGACCCCCGTACTATACGGGGAGTGCCCTGGGTCCGGACGGTGGGCCGCCGTAGCGTACGGGGAGTGTCCTGTATCCACATGTGGCTCTGATTCTGATATGTGTTATGTGTTATATTCTAATACCTGATTTAATTCTGATTTTCTGGTTATGACTGTGCATATGAAACTACATGTATTAAGTTAAGAAATGTTATTTTTGTAAACCATGCTGTTACTTGTGTGATACATGTGTTTTGAATAATCTAAGTTCTTGTCATGGTATGCCTAGTTAGTACTGTCATTCACTGAGTTATATACTCATCCTTTTTTCCTCCCCACCTTTCAGATTTCAGTTTTGATCGGCAGCAGTAGTTCCTGCGACACTTCTATCATAGCTACATTGACCTAATTCTATGGGCACTTTTTGTATACTTATTTTTTGTACTCTACACGCTCCATGTACAGTCAGATGTGTTTTGTTATAGAGATAGAGTTTTCTGATTAGAAGTGTTGTCTGTTCCGTTCTGATCAGAGGCTTACTAGGGTTGGTACGCTAATCCTAGTGCCAGTCACACGCCCGAGTTGGGGCGTGACACAAATGTAGTGAACATATCATATATATCTAAAATTCACAACGTATGTCTCATAATTTTGAAAACATAATTTTCAAAAGCAAACTGAGTTCTAGCAAATATGGAGTAAAGGAAAAAGGAAAGTAAATAAAAATAAAATTCTTGTTTTTACAACATTTACCAAAGTTTATTACCTTGCAGGAAAACCCACTCATACCATCACTATCTTCGTAATCATGCCAAAAAAAAATGATATCCTACTTCATCTCATGCTTCTTTGAAAAAACAAAAAAAAAATTCTTTCATTTAATTTTCGAAAAAATCTGAATTCTAAACATAATACATACTATTAGTTGTCATTTACGTACCCTATTGGTACGGGGTGCGCAAAACGTCAACTAAATTAAGAAATAAGCTCAACATATCTGTTCGATTTCTTTTAAATTGGGTTGGGTTTAATATCAATTTAGTGCCGGTTCAAAAATTTTGGAAACCAAAATTTTTTTGTCTTGTGTTAATTTGTAATTTTTTGAAATGGATTTAAGCCAACTAGAACCAATTCCATTAATGATTTAATGCATAGTTAAATATATTTTATTTATGAATATATTTATTGAGAAAAAATCAATTAATACTAATAACAATATAAAACACTTATATCAAATCTTTTTCCATTAATTTAGTTGAAATCTAATAAATAAAATTAATTGCAGTTGTCTCTCATAACCAAATTTTCAACTGTATACAACTCTTTTTTGAAACATTAATTACAATTGTAATTTAATCTCCACCATTAAATTTTAACTAAATTGATTATGTAAAATTTTGTATAAGTGTCCTAAACTTACACTAGTATTAATTAATCTTTTCTCATGTTTGAATTAGTTGGAAAACTAAATTGGTTAAACTTAAGGTTTTACAAAATGAGAAATTGGATCAAACCAAATTAAAAAAATAATTAGTAAATTTGATTTAAATCATTTCCTCTTCAAATTATTTTTGACATTGATGGAATGTTTTATTAAACCTAAATCTTGGTATACTATTTGTGACTTAGAAATTTAATAATAATAGGATACCGTAAGTGAAAAATATTTTCAAAATGTCGGCTAACCTAACTTTGTTTTTTCTTATATGATAAGCATTGATTAATAAATAAATATCACATAATCTCAACTTAATCTAGCTAATAATGCAAAGACATAGCAACCAATTGTCATTCATTAACCCCACTCCCCCCCCCCCCCAACTCTTTCCATTCAAAAGTTAGCTGCTGCCCAATTGGCTTCATTTCTTTAATTTAATCTTATTTTTAAATAAATAATATTTATTTTTATATAATGGCATTAAATATTTTAATATTTAATGTAAATAATTCAAATTTTCATCCATTTTAGCCTACCCAATAACCTCCAAAAAAGTAAAAATAAAAAAACAAAAATCTAGTTGGCAACTAGGTTAGACAAGAAAGTGATGAATCAGGTAGCTGCCCTGGGAATACAAGATCAATTAAATATGCAAGTAATCGAAAAGCAAATAGCCCCGTAGCAGGAGGGAGCAAAAAGTCAAGCAGGATGTGCCCGTCGGTCTTCGCACGTGCCTTTGAAAAGACATTAACATTTCAAGGATCAGCCGGAGCATAATCCTTCGCCACAATTTGGTCACGGGCCACGAGCATATCAATAATTTAACCAAGACCTATTTAATTAAATTAAAATTTAATTCCTGAATTTAAAATTTTAAAATTTACATAACCATTTATAATAAAAATAAAATTAATTTTATTTAAGTAATTTTATAATTTAAAATTTTAAATTATGTTAATTATCCGTTTGAAAAAATAAACTTAATCATCCTTTTTTTTCTCCTCCTCTGGGTAGGAAAATTAGACCGTTGTACTCTCTATCCTCTCCCCCACGTCATGTTTTGCCTTTTTCATTTTCCTCTGTTGAAACCTTCTGTTAACCAATTATATTCAATTCGAATCATCATCATTGTCTGAAATCTTAGTAGAAGAAAACAAAACCGCAAGAAGATTATAAAGGAATCAGGAATCTAAGTTAGGCATGAAAAAAATTAGAAGTTACGAGAGAAGCCGGCAATGGTTCTAATTAGATTTCTATGAGAAATCTTGGGCAAATTTGAAATTTTTTTTTAAAAAGTACTTTTTCACACATAATTTTTTCAGAAGTAATTTTTTTTTTGAAAAATTACTTTATACTAGTTTTGAAAATAATCAATTTTTAAAATTTATCTAAACACTCTAAAATATTTTAGATTTATTTTTAATAAAAGGTACTTTTTAAAAAAAAGACAAACAAATACACTCCTTATTTGACTCGAGATAAATAGTACTTCACTCCCTAAAAAATTTAAATTTTAAATTCTACTCCTTACAAATACAAAAAAAAACTTTTCTCTTTATAAATATTAAATTCATAACACTTATCTGGTCAAAATTTTATTAAAATATTTATTTTACTTTTAAAATATATAAATATTTTGAAAGTATAAATATTGACCGATTTTCTCTCATTTTAATTATTTAAAGTTATCATTTCTAATTAAAAAAAATTTATACCCTTTAAAAGTAGAATTTTCAATAAGCATTTTACTAAAATATTGATTGAAAGGATAAGTTTATAAATTTAATATTTAAAAAGGGTTTTATGAGTTATAGTATTAAAAATTTAAATTTTCTCAAATATGAAGGATATTTATCCTTCTATTTATACACGTTTAAGTGAAAGAAATGTCGTATTTAGATAAATCCAATGAAGAAGAAGAAATAAAATAACCAATAATTATGAAAAATCTTAATCTTTCCCAAGAAGAATAATAAGAAAGATAATAATCTACTCTTAACCAAAGAAGGTAAAACCATAGTATATAATTTTAATTGCAGAAAGAAAGCAATTATAAAAAAATCCAAAATCCCCAAATTGAATAAGAACAATTACAAGTCAAATTATATTGAGAAGTTAGAGACATCTTAACATCAACAAATGTGCATTAATTCTTGTAACTTGTGTCTTCTGAGTAATTGCTTGCAAGTGTGAACTCTTAATGTGTAAAATTATATTTCCAATTTTGTACTTTGAATCTTCATCTTTTGCTTCCTGTCCATTTCAGGAGAACTCTTTTTCTTGCTTAGAGTTCAGAAATGACGTGAAGGTTTAGAATTCTCCTCTGTCATGGAGAATTTTATATCTATTTTAATTAATTTAAATAATCCATTTCCTAAATAAATAACTAAAATTTTTATACCATCAAATTAAATTTTAAATTTTAGAATTTCCTTTACTTATATTTATTTTGAGCTCATTTTTGAAAATTAAGAAACCCCAAATCCCTTCCTTGGCTTGCCAGCTATTACACAAGCCTTTCGTCGGGGGCTGTTGCGGCTCCGTAACGAACTTGGAAAGCAATTAGTTGGATTAACTTCTAAATCACGTACTCTTCTGCAAATATCTGATTGGACCCAAAAATATATAAGCTTTTATATTAGGACCTTTGTTAATTTATTTCACCGTGTGCATCCCCTATGCTACTAAAATTCAAAGGTTGAAGGATGCTTGACCTAGTCATAAAAAAAGGATTTCTACAATTCGTGTTGGAAGAAGCAATTAAAACCTAACCGGTTCAAACACGAATTTTCAAAAACCAAAAACAGTTCTGAAAGAAATTAGTCTTTGAATAAGGAATTATTCTCCTATTATTTTCGTATTTAAAAAAAAAAAAAATCTTTTTTGTCGTTTACATGGAATACGTACAGTCTCGGTTCTTCCCTCCTTGTCCAATACTGTTTTAAATTTTATTTTATTTTTATTTTTGTTATTTTAATTATAGTGGCAAAAACGAAATTAGAACTGTGGGTTTTGTAGGCGATGTCTCCAGGAAACAGAGATTGGCTTTAGTGCATGGTTGGTGGACCATTTTACTCGAGCGAAAAGGACCGAAAAAAGCAAACATAACCACCACTTAAGCGAGCTAGCGCTCGCAGTTTCAGTTAAATATAATAAATAATATTATAATATCAAGTTACCAAAGGCTGCTTCCTCTCTCCTCCCCCGAACCTCATCCGTAACTTCTCTCTCCTAAACACCAAATTTCCTACCTCTTTATAAGCCCCCGGCCCTCACTTCTCCTTTCCACTCATAACCCGACTTTTAGTTTCTCTCAAACCCTCTTCTTCTTATTCTAAGTGTCTAGAAGTTACAGAACACTCTGTTCACTCTTACTTTAAAAAATTACTATCAATGGCCAATTGTGAGGAAACCTCAGCTCTAGAACTCATCCGCCAACACCTTTTAAACGACTTTTCACTCGCAGAGAGCTTTAGCTTCATCGCTGACCTTAATTTTCTCAATTCCTCCAATACCCATTGCGGTCAAACTTGCAGTAGTCCTGAATCTTCAGCTTCAGATGCAACTCACCAAATCTTCGGCTACGAATTCAACACCATGACTAGTCCCACCGAAAATATGCCCAACCCCTTCGATTTCGAGGCTAACCCACAAATCATCAGCCCAAGGGCTTCCAAGTTGAGCGAACGCCGCCCGTTGATTAACATATCGATACCGCAGGGGAGAAATATTCAACCGGAGGAAATTTGTGGGTTTTCCCAGGTGAGCTGCCGGAAAGTGTCGGATTCCGGCGAGAGGCGGCACTACCGGGGGGTAAGGCGGCGGCCGTGGGGGAAGTTCGCTGCAGAGATCCGGGACCCGAAGCGAAGGGGGTCCCGGGTCTGGCTTGGGACATACGACACCGCAGTCGAGGCCGCGAAGGCATACGATCGAGCCGCGTTCAATATGCGAGGGAGCAAGGCGATAGTGAATTTTCCTCACGAGATTGGAGCCTCGTCGGAATCTGACCCTCCGGTAGGGACTTGCCGAAAGAGGCGGAGAGCGGCCAGGGGTGGGGGCGAAGAGAGGGCAAAGCCGAAGGGGAAGCAGTCGTCGGAATCTGACGTGAAGACGGAGGAGGGAACGGCCTCGGACGCTTGTCCGTTAACGCCGTCAAGTTGGAGCGACGTTTGGGAATCTGCTGATGGAAATGGGATTTTTGACGACCTTCCTTTATCGCCGTTATCGACTCACTTTTCTCTGGGGTACCCGCATCTGATGGTGATTTGACGCGCCGGCAGGTCCCCCGCCGCGGGGCGGGGGAGGGGGGGGGTGGGTTTGGTCCAAATTTAGAATGAGTAAGTAATCAGGAAAGTTGTACTAAAGTGGAGTTATACTAAATTAGGGGAGCTCAGATTAATCTAAAATAGTTTTAAAAAAGAAATTCCAAAAAAAAAAAAGAAAAGTGAGCAAAAGGGCAAAAAGAGGAAGAGAGTGGGTCGGTTAAGTTTTCTTAGTGTACAGACCACAGAACGAGTGTTGAATTTTTGTGTTCTGTATTTGCTCTCCCATTTTTGTTACTTTAGCGACTCCTTTCCTCCCTTCACATTTTACCACAGAATTATTTTTTCATATCATTTATAAGGATTTACGATTTAAGAATTAATAGTTTAATAATTTATTAAAATTAAATTAATAGTACAAAATATTTAAATAATTTATATACTAAATGATGTGTTATTCAAAATTGATATAAAATAGAATACCATATAAAATTATTAAAAGTGTCATTATATCAACAAATATTTAATTTTAGTTATTTAAAATTACTTAAAGTAGAAAGTTTGGTAGCTGTTTAGATAAAATATTTATTATAAAGAAAATTAAGTAGTCACTAAAAATATGAGATTAAAAATAATTATACATAAATTAATAATAATATGAAATTTTGTAGTTGATATTTCCACTGAATTGGTGTTGGAATATTATATCCATGATTTCTAAATAAAATTAGTAAATTGGAAAATGTGATTGCATAAAATATAATATAAATATTTTAAATTTGTTAAGAGATGACTAGATATCGGGAAAAAGTTATATTCATCTCTCACCTTTCATTTCAATTACAAAATTATTCTTGTAATATTCAATTTTTATCAAAAAATAGAGACATGTTTGTAATTAAAATAAAAGATGATAGGTGAAAATAACTTTTCCCCTAAATAATAGCACTTTCAAGGGTGTCTAAGCATACACAATGCACAAATTAATTTCTTATCTTGATTTGTGATTAATTATGGTGAAGATCAAGTTACCACCAACCTATTTTCTTGATCTCTCCTCCAATGAAAGACTAAAATCCTAATAAACAACTTTGATCTATAAATAAAAATGAACTTCAAAAGCCCATTATCCTACCTTATTTGCTTATTCTTGGTCAAGGTATGGAATTTTCACACATATTTTATAAATCCTAACACAAACCAAGCATCTTGTACTAATTTCTATTCCCTATTTTTTTTCCAAAAATAAATTCTGCAATGCTTTTTGCAATTTGTCTTTCAAAATAAATAAGTTTTAAAATGAATTTTACCTTTAAATAATATACTTTAAATAAACAATTTATTAGAAAGTTCTTACAATATAAACAATATCCTAAACTTAAGCCCAAAATAATCCACTTTGAAGACCCTCACGGTGTGAACAAGCAATATAGAAAACTAAGAGAAGTGCCGACATGGTAAATGTTTAAAATATGTTCTTCATTCTCTCTTGGCTATATAATTCTTTGACAAGTCAAAACGCTCTTGTCTTCTTTTCTTGGCTTCAATATTAATCTATTCTTTAATATATATTACATTTTCCTTCCTTCTATTCACAGAAAATCCAAGATTAGTAGCTAGATGCATGGGAATAGGACGTTCATATTTCATAACATCATATTCCAAATGAGGAATGCGTCAATTGTCTTCCAACGGTTCAGATTTTTCACTGATCTTACATTGTTACATATACATATACACGCTTTAATCTCATACAAACACAAACAAATTTATGTAAATCATCTCATCATAGTTTTGAAATTTGTGTGGTCGCGTGATTATTGAGCTTTTTTGCATTAATTTTTTTATTTTACAAGTTAAGAAAGTACAATATTGTAATTTCTCTAAACTATAAGTTGCAACGTAAAAGCTCGATACCCAAAAATTCCATTCATTCGACTGACTCAAATCTTTCCTAATGATTCACTAACAAGTTTTTATATATGACCTTGAATCTTATAAGTTAATACCTTATGTTTCTCGTCGTTCATTTTTCTCTTCTTCAAAAAAAAAAAAAAACAAAAACAAAACCCGCACCTCAATTAAATTGGCTTGGATCTGACTTCCCGTGCCCTCCTAACGCTAGATCTTTGTCATCAAGTGGCGAAAGTGTGGCGAGTACCTGGCAGTGGGCGGCCCCTTGACAGACATGCAACGGAGGTGGAAATGGAAATGAAGGTGAGAGAAGGCATTAGTGCTTCTAATTCTAAAGAAAGAGAAAGACCCTTCGACGCTCATCTTTAAAAAATAAGAAGAATAAGAGTTGTCGATTTAAAATTAGATTGGGAAATTTTTTAAAAGAAAATGAAATTATCTTCTCTAATCTTTTATTGTTCAGAAATTAGTCGTACTAATTTTAAAAATAATCAAAAATCTAATTTTTTATTTTATATTTTAACTAATTTCTATACACCACTGTCAATCTCGTTACTTCTTAGACCAATACCTAATACTTTCCATCCTTCAAACAAACAAAACCCTAAATATTAATTTAAATTTTTTCCAATTGTTTTCTCGTTATATATAATTTTTTCAACAGTGTGATTGATGGGAGCTCTGCCGGGTCAAGGTGAGCTGAGGCGGATGGCAGGTAGGGTTCCACAAATGCCTCTTCCATAAATAGAGAGTGGAGTAACAGGTAGGGCTAGACTTGGACCAATGCCACATGAGTACAACAATAAATTTGAAGAATGTATTTTTCTTGAAAATCATCTTGGCACAGCACCGACTGTCGAAAGCACCCTCAACGATCTCTCTTTTCCATATCTAACACATTTATCAAAGTCAAAAGATTGTACTTGGCTGCTCTTTTCTCCGCAAGGGCAATTTTTTCTCACGGTTTCCCTTGCTGCATTGGTTGCATAGGATTCTTGGGCTTTTATTGTTTCCACCTTCAAAGGGAATCAGGTGTGACCCCGCTTCCCTGATTTTTTTTGTTCTTTGTGAACAAGTTACCAAGATACAGAACAATCACTTTGTTCGTGCAAAAATTGAATAGTTACGCGAGAAAAGTGAAAAGATAGTAAACAATTGTGTTATTTTGTCTTTTTTTGTTTCATATGACGGTGTTTAAAGATGTTAATCCTAGAAATAAATAGCAAATTATATAATTTGAAAAGATAAATAAGATAGAGAAAAAAAAGTTTAAAAGACTCAAATGATTTTTGTCCTCTCGTAAGACTTTTGGAGACTTCTTTTATTTTTAAATTAACAAGTTATAACTATATTTAGCTTGTATTATGTGTATTTTTAACTAGGATTAGTGAGTTTTGAAGAATTTTTCATAAAATTTAACAAAAATATTGAAACTTGAAAAACTTATAAAGTTTAAATATAGAACAAATTCAAATTTTCTAATATAACAAAAAAAAAATACAATCTAAAAAAACCAGCAAATTTTCAACGTTATTTTGATGTCAATACCTAAAGCCTCTAAACCAGT